GACTTGTTTTGGCCCATGAAGAGCAGAAATGACACGTGTCATTTCAAAACAGAAGCTTTAAGCACAGAGCACGAGTCCCCACATGCCCTTCCCTGTGTCACTGCAGAACATGCCAAAACTTCAGCCAGCCAGAATCCCTGAGTAACTGGGATGAGCAGAAGCTCCTGCCAATGTGCGTAAGACATGTGGTGTGTGAGCTGCGTGTTAAGCGAATGAAATTTTGGGATTGTTATTCAGAATAACCTAACTTATTCGACAGATGTAAGTAGCCAGAGTAGACCTCAGTAAGGTGACAGATTGCCATCTGGTGGCTTGAACCTGAGTGGCAATAGTGGAAAAGGATAAGTCATCGGAATCTGGATGTATTTTTATGTATAGAAAAGAATTAAGTCCTGTATGACTGAAAGTGTGAGAACAGTGACAACAGACCGCATTGGTTCTAAAAGTATGTCAGAAACATCTTGTGTGAATAACAACTCTAATGTAAGCAAATATTATATTCTGGTAAGTCTGGGAGAAAATAAATATCTAGTAGGTCTACGGCAGCATAAACAACCCACTAGGTATTAAAAGTAAAATAAAAAAGAGATTTCACTGCCCACTTTGCATAGTGGAGCATTACTGCCCTCTAGTAATGAAAAAAAAAAGAATTTAGAAAAAGCTAGAAAGTGGCAACCACTGATGAAGAGAAATATATATTTTAAATTTTTTAGTTCTCTTTGTGCCATGAGTTTTTATATCATGAGAAATTCTACCAAGGAAAATAAAACCAGCATTGCTTCTCGGTTATCCATTATTTTCAAGAAGGCAAGAATCCTGAAACCCACTGGTTAAGGTACCATGACTATTATAGGTACAAGAATTAGTACTGTTTGTAGTGATATAAACAACTCAAATCTTTTCTAGTCATCCATAAAAGATGATGAAGTGTTAGCTATTGTGAATAACGCCGCAATGAACATAGGGGTGCATATATTTTTTTGGATTAATGTCTTGGGATTTTTTGGATAAATACCTAAGAGTGGGATT